CCCCCCCAGAATTACAAAAAAAAAAAAAAAAAAGTCAAACAAAAAAATTTTAAAAAGTAATTCAGAAACAAACAAACTGAATTACAAGATGTAAACTCACAAAACTGAGAACAAAAGTCCAACTTGTAAGATAAAATGTTGCAATTATTGAATTGCGAGACAAAAAAAATTGCAATTATTTTTGCAATTGCAATTTATTTTTAACTATTTTTTATTCAGGAACAAAAACAGAAATGAAAGACAAACTCTCAATTCTGAGAAGCAAACTCAGAATTGTGAGATATAAACTCGCAATTAACTTTTTTATTTTTTAGTCTGTTGCGAAAAAAACGAAAAAAAAATTTGCGAGATGTAAATTTGACATTGCAAGAAATTTTTTTTAGATCTAAGTTTATATTTAGCATTTCTAACCATTTTTCTAAAAATTATGAGTTTATATCTAACAGTTATGCTTCTTTCTGATCTCAGAATTGCAAGAAAACAAGTTTGAAATGTGGGAAATGAAGTTACGTTTTTAATTATAATTTTTTATTTTGTGGTGGAAACAGGCATCCATGAGTCCCAGTCCCCATTCACTTTCAATGTATGGAAAAGAGCAGCATGAATTCTCTGCTAAATAGCTCTTTCTGTGTTCCACCATAGAAATAAAGTCATTCATGTTTGGAACGACATAAGGATGAGTGACTGATGACAGAAAGTTTTGGGTGAACTATTGCTTTAAGTGACAGATTTGTAATGTAAGGCACTTTACAGTGGTCTGACTATGTTATCTATGCTAAACACTTACAACATCTTTCTATTGATTTCTCAACTGAAAGTTACCTTTGCATAGTTCTATAAAACAACACATAACATTTGCACCTACATGATCAAAATAGTGGCACAAATTGGATGCTACTCAAAGGCAAACATCAGTACATCTGAGTCGAGCACAGTAGAAATATACAGTAACAGTACAGCTTATTATTACAAACATAGTCAGTCATTTTACACCATGTAAGAATTAAAAAACCCAAGTGTTAGAATAAAATATAAAATATTTGTCTTTTTTTTTAATCTTCAACATATTATCATTCTTCCAGTGTTTTTGCCATCAATATATAAAAAATCCCAGATCTTTCTCTTTAATATTTTTTATAAAAAAAATAAAAAAATAAAAAACTGAAAACCTGGGACAGTGTAATTAAAATGTATGGCATATTAAAACAGAAATGAATCAAACTGTTAGATTAAAAAATGTTTTAAGGGTAATAAATTGGAATTTGAAGTTTGAATTATTATATTACTATTCCTTTAGTCATCAAATATGTGTTAAGAAATGATTTCACATTCTTATGGATTATTTCAAGCTATGCACTGTGTTAAAATGCATCCTCAGGGTATCTTAAGAAATGCATGAGTTGAAATACATTTGCATAACTATACAGGCACTGCATATAACCACAAGAAGAGTTTTTGAAGGCTTTCAGCAGAGTTAAAACTGAATATTGCTTATTGCTTGGCACATTCCACAGGACATCTGGAAATCTGTTGGATTTTCCAAAAGCTGTGTGCAAAACTGTTCTTCCACATGTGCATTTCTTCAGCCTCTGGGTCTAAAGATTATTCCACAAATCCACTGCGCTACGTGAAATTCTCCTGGACCAGAAACATTAATACTGAGAGAATATTGCCATTGATTAATAATGGAATGAAATAATTTAGGGTCAGCTGTTTCAGATCAGCCTCATAGCAAACATACTTTGTCCATCTATTGGTTGTGTGCGTTTTCATCTGAAAGATACGATTTGTAGAGCATTTGCTCAAAAGTTTCCTTAACATTCAACAGAAATTTTCACAACATTTATGAATTAGTTACGATTAATGTAGCTATGCTAAGGGAGCATTTCACCCAAAAATGAAGAAAAACTAAAATAATTTACTTTTACATTTTACTTTTTACAATGAGAAACCATATAAACTTTCATTTGGCCCCTTCATTCAAGTGCTTGTTTCACGCATGCTCATATCAGCGGCTTCAGTTGAACTGTTGGAGGAACTGGAGCACTGAATCAGTTCATTCATCATAGATACGCGCTGCTATTTTGGCTCATTTCGAGTCGGAGTGACTGTTGGACATTTGAAAGTGAGTTTTGATTGAGTAACTTGTAAATCTGTGCTGCTTGAGCCATGAACTGTTTTAGACGGTTCAGTCTGATTTGGTGAATTGGTTCAACTAGTTCACTAAAAAGAATCAGTTCAAAATAATGATTCATTCGCGAACCGAACATCACAGAGTGACCGTTTCGCTTCATAAGACCTCAATATATCAATATATTAATTTTGTGTCCCCTGATACGCTTTTTCGACTTTCAAAGTGACGGTAGCCCTTGACTTGCATTTTATGAATCACCAAGGACCACGGTTTCCGCTGAAAATCTTCTTTACTGTTCTACTGAAGAAAAAAGTCACCTACATATTGGATGACCTGAGCAGATTTTCATTTTTGGGTGAACTATCCCTTTAAACATCAACTGTCTGTCACTTAATATCTACACGTTAAATGGGAAGTATTGTGCTTAAGTCATTCCTTTACAAGGATATATAAGAAAAGATAAATATTCTTCTAAACTGTGTGCAAACACGCTACTGTACAACCAAAGAAATCATCTTTCAAGTGCACTTTTATATTATCCCAAAGTTGATTAAATTGTACTCTAATACACCTATGAGAAGTTACACAAATCAATCTTTTTTATGATACTGACCTTGATTATTTTGATATTATTATAACACAGTGAAATTTGGGTAGACGAAACTGGAATAAGGTTAAAATACGATAAAATAAAACGAGTGTAAACATGAAAATAATATTATTTTACACTTGACAAAACAGGCCGTGCTTCTTCCTTAGCAGTCAATGGTGTTACCGGAAAAACCAGCGGCCCTGAACAGCCAAACGAAGGATTCCTTGCACTAACAAACATGCTCGTTCTCCTCCATGTTCACGCTGTCCTTACAGCTGCTTTCGTTCGAGGCTCCGGACGAGACGGAGGTGAGGAGTGGGTCGCTCGTTGCTACAGATGACAATGTGTCGTCCATCAGGATGTCATCGAGTTTAGCGCCATGTGCCTTTGAGCCAAGACCATAAGCATCGGTGGAATTGCTAGAGTCGTTAAAGGTGATTGTGCCATCGTTTAGGTCTAGGGTGCTGGCGCGGCCCATGTCGGGGCAGGACGGGTGTGCGTGAGGGTACATGTCCCGGGAGCAGTCGCACAGGACCGGCTCCTGTTTGATGGTCCGGGCTGCTAGCTCTGATGAGCAGAGTGTAGACGAGACGACGGCCAGTCCGTGAGCACGAGCCTGGATCTCCAGCTCCTGGATTAGCATTCAACCGATAGACAACAAAGCAATATAAACCGATAGACAACCATTCCACTGTATGCTACAGTTGTATTTCATAGTTACGTATTGATGTGTCAGAACTGACCTGTATCCTGAGCATCAGGTGGCGGTTGGCGTGTTCCAGCTTCTTCTGACGGTTCTCCAGCTCTTTGGCACGCTGCTGCTCTCTCTGAAGTTTCCTGATGTAATCCACAGAGGCCTTCAGAATAGTGCCCTTGTTCCAGCGCATGTCCCTGAGCAACACACACAAGCAGCTGAAACCAGCACATCTGATGAACTCTATCAACAGCACTAGCCTCTGCTGTGATAATAGCATGCATTCATCTGCTTCATGTGTAAGTGTGTATCTACTGAACACTGCGGTGCTTACGGATCATTTGATTTAGGAATCAGAGTCCCCAGTTCTTTGATTCGATCGTTAATGTTGAATCTCCGTCGCCTCTCAACTGAAACAGATGAAAAATGCGTGTTATATTACACACTTGTATTTAAAAACTCAAACAAAATCAATTCACTTACACCCAAAGTCTATTGGACAAAGAATTGTTTCCAGTTTTTCCAGTTGTAAAACTGGAACGGTGTTTCAGGATGCTACCCTACATACAAAAGCAAACTCACTTAAGTTATGGTTGTCCTTTTTTTGCCTTTCCTTTGCGAGAGTGCGAACTTCTGCCTCTGAAAAAGATAAAGGAGTGTGAGAAGAGAAACTGAAAGCAGGACGCTTATCTGCCATATGTTTTGGCACCCTTTAAATGTCACTATTATGTGTCTTTTACAGCACATTTTCTCTCACCAAAATCCCTTTTCCACAAAATCTAGATCATTTTTTGTATAGATTATGACCAACAGTTTTTATTTTTATGCATAAAGTACCCAGACAACCTGTTACATTTGCCATAATATATACAGTATACAATAAATCACTGCATGGAAAACTGTATCCCACAATGCAATGTTTTGCCTAGTTTTACATAAAATCAGACTAAAAACGCAAAATAACTCTTTATTTCCAAGATGATGGTTGCCACTTACATACAACTTTACGAGGTCCCATGAAAATGTTTATTCTGGAATAATACCTACTGTTTTACATACTACTTTTTAAAAATAGTAGCCAGCATGTAGTGTACACTACACAGTATTTTTTTTAGCAGTAAGCTAGTATTTAATTCTAAATATGACTGAACTTGAATGGAACCCAATTTTATATAACAATTCTATATAACAGTAGATACACTCAGTACCATTCAAAAGTTTGAGTTCAGTAAGTTTTTTTTTTTATACATTATTCAACAAGTATGAAAGCTTGCTTCTGCCACTGAATGAAAAATAAAAAATGTAGTTACAACTTATCTCACAATTTTGACTTTTTTCTCAAAATTGCAAGACAAACTCGCAAATGTGTGTTATAAATTTAGAATTGCGTGATGCAAAGTTGCAATTGTGAGTTATTATAAAGTCAGAATTGTGAGCTCATTTTTCTCCCTTAGAATTTATAACTTTTAGGAGTTTATATCTCACAATTCTGAGAAAAAAAAGTCAAGATATAAACTAAGAACTCTGCCTTTTTTCTCACAATTTCGAATTCACATCTCACAATTCTGAATTTGTATCTTGAAACTTTTTTTTCTCAGAATTGAGAAAAAAGTACAACTTGTGAAATATAAACTATATAATACTCAGAAACAATAATAATAATCAGAAATATTTCTTGAGCAGCAAATCAGCATATTAGAATGATTTCTGAAGGATCATGTGACACTGAAGTGTGTAAAAAGTTGATATATAAACTAATGTGCCAGTATGGGTAAATCTAATCCATAAAACAATTTTAATCTATAAAATGATTATGTTTCTGTTTTGTTAACGGACATGCAGACAAGGAGAGAAATCTTCGAACGTACCCACAGGAAACCCTTCAGGCCTTTGATAGCTCTCAAACTTGCTACAGGAGCTGGGCTTGTCCATCATGTGCATCATGGCTGGAGATGGAGTAACTATGTAGCATACGAGCATATGTTTTCAATCTCTCACTCATATTATCATTCACATGACATTTAAAAGGTGAAACACATTTCAGTACATTGTCAAAAAGCCTGGAGGGTCTTAGACGCTACAAAACTGCATTAACTAATTCATATGACACTTACCAGAGAATTCCCCTTTAATGTTGGACAGGTTAGCAGGGCACGAGTTACTGATAGAGATTCCCGGAGGAGGCATGCCTGGGTTACTATACATGTCCAAGAGGTTCACTGACACGGGGATCTAGAAACACAAGAACATGTATATTATTGTCTCCTTTTTTTTGTTCTTTTTGACGCTCACTGTGTGGAAAAGAGCAGCATGTGTGTTCTGTGAGAGTGAGTAAATGAAGACTATTCACGATTCCTCTGCAGACAGCAGTCAGATAGACATTAGATCAGGTGTTGACAGCTGGATCGCACGGCTTTCTGCTATACTGACACCAGCCACAGCTCTGATTGTGTGAGATGACAGAAAGAGACAAAGTCTCACCAAGTTCACTGCTAATATAAAAATACATTCGAGTCACTGTAGTTCTTGAAACTTGTAGACAATGCTGGGGAAAGTTGCTTTTTAAAGTGATGCATTGCAACATTGCGCTACTCCATAAACAAGTAACTAATTGCATTACTAAGTTACTTTTTATGGAAAGTAATGCATTATGTTACTTTTGCTTTACTTTTTGTCACCTGGGGTGGGCTTGCTTGTTTGTTTTTTAATAACAAAAACCCCAAAAGTTGTATTTTTGGCAACTGTAAAGGCCCTTTCACACCAAAAGTGAAATGAATAAGCCTCAGGCTGAAGGAAGTGTGTCTGCCTCTGCCCTTATGCCTAGTTTCTCTCAACATGGGGACAGGAGAGCTATCAGTGAATAAATGGGAAAACAAAGTAACTTGCGTTACTTACACTGTATTGCCCAAAGTATTGGGACACCCCCTTCTAATGAACAGGTTTGACTACTTTAGTCATTTCCATGAGTACAAATCTTAATGTTTAAGCATACAATGAAATTCTAGGGAAGCAACAGTTTGGACAGGACCCTTTTCTATTCTAACATGACAATGCCTCTGTGTATAATGCAAGGTTCAAAAAGAAATGATTGATTCAGTCAGTGCAGAAGAACTTAACTGGTCCAAGTCCTAATCCCAGCTGAACACCTCTGGTGTGACTTTACATGCAGAGCTTGAGCCAAAAACTCATCACCAAACACCAATGACTTGTACATACACTATATGGACAAAAGTATTGGGACACCCCCTTCTTTAGAACAGAAAAAGGCACTTCCGAAACTGTGGCAACGAAGACGAAAACATAATTCATGTATTTAAACATTGCATTTCCATCTCTGTTGCAAAACAGTTTTGGAAGTGTCTGTACCCATATGTACAAGTCATTGGTGTTTGGTGATGAGTTTTTGGCTCAAACCTGCTCTTCCACACCGACTCAATCAATCATTTCTTTTTTAACCTTCCCTTATACACAGAGGCATTGTCATGTTAGAATAGAAAAGGGTCCTGTCCAAACTGTTGCTTCAAAATTAGAAGCACACAATTCCCAAGAATATCATTATATGCTTAAACATTAAGATTTGTACTCATGGAAATTACTAAAGTAGTCAAACCTGCCAGTCAAGCTCTTCCACACCGACTCAATCAATCATTTCTTTTTTAACCTTCCCTTATACACAGAGGCATTGTCATGTTAGAATAGAAAAGGGTCCTGTCCAAACTGTTGCTTCCCTAGAATATCATTGTATGCTTAAACATTAAGATTTGTACTCATGAAAATGACTAAAGTAGCCAAACCTACTCATTAGAAGGGGGTGTCCCAATACTTTTGGCAATATAGTGTATTTAAAAAAGTAACTCAGATATTTTCTTGCAAATTTAAAATTAATGCATTACATTACTATTTATTTGAAAAAGTAATCTGATTATGTAACTCGCTTGTAAAGCGCTACCCCCAACACTGCTTGTAGTTTTTGAAATTCTTGATCAGGGTTTAGCTATTTACTTAACTAAACTAAATTATGTAATTATATTAACTGTTTTTTTGTTTTTTTACTAATGTTTTGCTTTTTTGCAAGCAAAATAAAACAAATAAATAAAATAATAAATATTTCATTATAGTAACCGTTTTTTTGCAAACAAATTGAACTAAAAACATATTTTGTATTACATAACTACTGTTTTTTGCAAACATAATAAAATAAAACAAAACAATATATCTGTCACACCATCACCCTGTTTTGACTTTGGTTGCCTGTCTTGTTCATTGACCTAGTTTCTGTTTCCCCTTGATTGCCTTAGTTAGTTCACCTGTGTCTAGTTAATTTAGTCATTAGTTCCTCTTCCGTTTGTATAAATTCCCTTCCTTTAGTTCTCTGAGTTGCCAGTTATTGTCGAATGTTACCCTGAGTGAGTGAGTGAGTGAGTGAGTGAGTGAGTGAGTGTGTGTGTGTGTGTGTGTGTGTGTGTGTGTGTGTGTGT